CATGCCAAAGAAAGCATGCCAAATCCACAAGTCATAGGAGGTAGTTGCCTTGAGTACAACTGTTGGTTTGTGGTAGTGTCCAATGTAAGCACCGGCTTGGGCAGTTGGACATTTATCCCAACGCCAGTGCATATAATCCAAACTCCCTAACATTCTAGGAAACCCGCATTGCTCTCCCTCTTGCAATAATCTGGCGACATCTGCTTCATTTGGGGATCTTAAGTAAACGGCTTCATAGGTAGCAACAATTGATCTGGTAAAAAAATTCAAGGTGGCAATTGTAGTACTTTCGCCGATTCTAATGTACTCGTCTATAGCATCAGTAGGCACACCGTACTGCAGGATCCGAAGTGCTACAAGAATCTTCTATATATCGGATAATATAGGAGCACTAGTGGCATCACGGGTATTGGTGAAGTACTCATTCACTTGTTGAATATCATGTAAGATACTAACAAACAATGACCGGCTCATTCAAAAACATCTTCGGAAGTATTCTTCTAGATAGACAGGATTATTTTCAAAATAATCTCTGTAAATTTGTTCATCGTCTTTGACCCTCTCACGATTAATATATCGACGACCACTTGTAGAACCAACACGTCTGATTGGTTGGTTTAAGCTTAGCGTCTGTATTCTTTGTTGTTACGCTGTGAACAGTTGCATCATGATGATATCATCAACAAATGATGAAGATTCATCAAAATCTCCTTTCAATATGGCTTTAGTCAAATTGTTCATTGTAGGTGGATAGGTAAGTGGGTGAATATGAAAATTGTAGAAAATCTTTTGGGTGGGTAAAGAGAGTTTAGAAGATATGAAAATGATTGGTAGGTGAATATGAAAATTGTAGAAAACTTTGTGTTATATTTACAGAGAAAATTGTGGGTGGGTGAATGATGGATGGTTGTTGGGTGAGTGGATGAATAATAGATGGTTGTTGGGTGGGTGGATAAATAATGGATGATTGTTGAGTGGGTAGTTGTTGGTGAATGAATGCTGGGTTAATAATGGATGGTTGTTGGTGGTTAGTTGTTGGTGAATGAATGATGGGTGAATGATGAAGATTGTTGGTGGGTAATTGGTGATTGTTTATTTTTTATGTGTAGTTAAAAAAATTTATTAAATATGTAGTGATATGTTTTTTGGTAGAGTGAATTATATATATATATATATATATATTTATATTTTTTACATTTGTTTAGTTGGGAATAATATAAATATATATATTTTTTACAAACGGATAAAAAAATGTCACAAAAGACAAAGAATAAACAAAAATAAAATCACAAAAAAACCTATATCCAAACAACACCTACAAAGTTTGAGGGAAAGTTAGATGAGATTTGCCAAAATAGCAAATGACCATTGGAGCACCATTGCTATAATTTGGCAAAATGCACTATTCATTGCCAAATTATAGCAATAGCAATGGCATTATAACAACAATGGTTAGAGATGCTCTTATGTAGTTGATATAATGCACTGTTATTCTTTTATTTACTGAGGTTTCGTTTGTCAATTATATATTTTAATCAAAAAATTAAAAAATTATTATAAATTGTCACATCACCCTCTTTAATTTTTTGCACATATTTTCATAAAAATTCAAAAATTATTAAAATACCCTATTTCCAAACGAAACCTAATTGACATTTAATAACAAGGTTTGACTTTTTTCTAGTTGACCACATCAATTTAAGAAAGCCTTTAGATTTGGTAGATCAAATTTAAAACTAATTTTATTGATTCAAATCGTTTATTTTTTAGAACTCATTTTGTAAAATATTCATTTAAAAAATTAAGATAATCAAATATCGGTAACTATATGTTTGAATTAAATTTATATTACAAAAAATGAATGGTTACTCTTGAAATTTTATTTCATGTGTATTTTTTTTAAAACAAATATGATTCAAACATATAACTATCGATATCCAATCATCTTGATTTTTTACATTAATATTCTACTCAATAAGTCCTAAAAAGTGAACGGTTCAAATCACTGAAATTGGTTTTAAAATAGGCTTACTAAGTCTAAGCGTTCTCTCAAGTTAAGATACCAACTTAAAAAAAGTCAAATCCTTAATAAAAAGTGTGATTGAAATTTGATATAACCGAACACTTGGGCCTATTTTGAAAAGTTGGTTTCTTAATAAAAAACTTCAAAAAGTTACTATAAAATATCAACTATTCTCTATATTTTTTTTTACATAACTTTTTGTAAAAACCTAACAAGCTATACAAGAGTCAATTCTCAAAATAACCATCTCCGATTTAGCAAAAAGTGACTTATTGAATCTTATTTTAATCACACATCAATTAATAAATAAAAAAATACGCCACATTATCTCAATTGTGTGACATACTTGTATAAAATATTTTGAATTTGGCTTCTCTCAAGCTAGTCATCTCAACTTGAGAGAGCGTCTGCACTTCGTAAACTTATTTTTGGACTGATTTCAATGATTCGAATAGTTAATTTTTTAGGACTCGTTGAGTAGAAAATTTATATAAAAAAATTAAGACAAACATAGGTAACTATATATTTGAATCAAATTTATTTTACAAAAAATGTAGAATTATTCTTGAAATTATATTTGTCGTCTATTTTTTAAAACAAATATGATTCAAACATATTGCTATTGATATTCAATCATCTTAATTTTTTTCATAAATATTTTATTTAATCAATCTTAAAAAATGAATAATTCAAACCATCAAAATCGACTAAAAAATAGACCTAAAAAATACTCTCTTAAATTGAGATAACAATTTAAGACAAGCCAAACTCAATACCTTTCTCCCTCCGCTCTACAGACATCAAAAAAATATGAAAAAAATTAAAATTTTTATTAAATAGCTCATAAAGATTTCTAACATTACTTTCCAGACATAGCCTTTAAATGAGATTAATCACCATTGGTTGACTCTTCTTGCACTGATGTAAACTGATGTGAAACATCTCAAGTCTTTGGAATGAAAGTCTACCAGAAAATTCCAAATCCTCGAAAGGAATTCCAATGGTGGGGGGTAAAAGATGATTCCTCACCTAGCGTTTTGAATTAAACACCAATCCGAACGTACACGACACGTGATTCGGACCACTTCAATTATTTTTTTCTTTTTTCTCCTTTTAGTTTATATGTATGTGAATTTATTTAATAGGTACATTATACTGACAATTATATTGGGTTTCTTAATATTTTAATTTGTGGAGCAGTTAATTTTATTTTTATCATTAATTTATTAGTTATATGGATAATATAATATTGTTATTATCATCTCTTTTATATTGAAATATATATTTTATATTATTTATTCTTATGTCTTCATACTATCTGTATTAATTTCAATTCTTTTAAAAAAAATTACAAATCAATGTATGTTTCAAAAATAATTTTAAATTAGTGGTAAACTTTTCCAACTTTAATAATTAGAACTATAAAATTTTCCATAAATTTATAAATATTTTGTGAAGTTAACACTAATTTGTAATTTTCTCTTCTTTTAGTCTTAATGAAGGGAAGAACGGTGTAATTATATGAAAATTGTGAAGTTTACTATAATTTCTCTAAATTTAAAAGTATGTCAATATAATTTATCTTATTTAATACAACAAATCATATAAACCTTAATATGATAGAAAGGTAAAAAATTAATTCATATAAATGAAAGGATCACAGGACTTATTTTGATTTGGTTCAATATGTCTAAGAAGTACACCTTAGACGTTTTATTTATTTATATTATGTTTGATTTATGAATTTATGTATGAATTTGAGGGAGGAGGGGGAGGGGGGGAATGACAAAAGGGGATGAAACGTGAATATAATATAATTATATTTCTCTTACATTTCATATACCTTTTCTCTTTTTCCTCTATAAATTCCTACAAAAATCTATAAATCAAACAAAACTAAAAATGAAATAAGAAGAAGAAAGTCGAATCACAAAACGGGAAGTACTCAAATTTAAATAATATAAATGATTGGTGTAAAGCATCAAATTAGTTGGCTACATGGGGTTTATTTTTTGAATTTTTTCCAAATCAATATTTACAAACGTATATAAAAAAAATAAAAAGTAGCTAAACAATCGTCATAAAAAATAACTCTTAATAAGAGCAAATAAACAACTCAATACAATTTAGTAAATAAACAACTTAATACAATTCTCATAGTAGGGAAATGATTTTTAATAATTAATTAACCTTTAACCTCTTAAATAGAAATATAAAGTAATAGCTAACTGATAAATCCAATTAATTAACTAACAAGGTTTGCCTCATTGTTCAAAACTCATGTATCTCATTAGAAGGTCAGTGATTTGATTCTCTTTACATGCTTGTGGTTCGTATTTTCTGTGTATTTATTGAAATATTTTTTTCTCTAATTTAGTGAATTTTATTGTAATATCATCTATGAATATAATTTAAAAATAAAAAAATTGTGTAAGCAAATGGTAGCAAAGGCCAACAATGTTGGGTAGACAAGTAATTTAAAAAAATAAGGGACATGTGATGAATTTAATCGAGTTTGGCTACGCCACTTCCTTGACTTTCATTTCTACTAGACATTAGGGCTTGAAAATTATTATTTAAGACACAAGAAGGCTAAATTATATATATGTAAAACTAAAGGGGCATATGAGCAATTTATATTTCCCTTTTTGTCTTTTTGTCGGATATAAAATACTAATTTAAGAGAAGTGATTGAAACCTCCTCAATCACCAAACCTCAACATCCCATACACACGTGAGGATCGGTGATTGATTAAAAATAAATAAATAAAAATAATCTGGCCAATCACATGCCAAGGGCGTCGTGGGAGTCACATTTGGAAGGGGCCCGGATCATTTTTGCTAGTTTAATAAACTGTGATGGGGAACCCCAGTTGCCCTCCACCCCACACCACGTGGAGGTTGGTTATTAGAAGGAAAAAAAATAAAAAATAAAAAATATTACAGACCAATCAGATCCCACTGGGTCCTGAGTCACCCCATTCGGGTCTGAAACAATTCCGAAGGGAAAACCGTTAAAGAGATCCGGCGATTTATTGACGAAACGTACAATATAACCAATGCGTATTCGGGAAAACGACGATACAAAAACAATAATTATCCGAGAAAATGAACTAGCCGTTGTGGGACTCAAAAATTCAAAGATCGAATCGATCGATCACACTCACTCGCTCAAAGAGACACAAAAGCCTTATAGCTCTCTCTCTTCTCTCTCTTCCATTTCCTTTTTGTTTCACTCTCATCATCAAAACCCTAGACCCCAAAGTCTCTCTCTACACGCTTCTCTTTCTCTCTCTTCAACTCTTCTGAACTGTGATCTCTGTTAGCAAGACTCCTTTTCGATTCGTCTGGTTTGATTGGGTTCGATCCAAGTGTGCATCGATCGGCTCTGGATGCTCTGATTGAAGTTTCTGTGAGTATTACAGGTAAATTGATTTCAATTTTCAAGTTTCCATATAGTTTTCAGGTTAATTTTGATGCTGAATATTCGCGAATGGTCAAATGTGCTCTTTTTCTCTGAGTTTCCTTTCATAGTTTTGTTCGAGAAGTGTGTTGAAAATGTAAACTTTCTTAACGGTGCTATATGTAGAGAAAGAAAGAAAACGGAAATGGAGACTTTTACAAGTGAATTTAGAGAGAGAGGGAGAGAGAGAGAGAGAGAGAGAGAGATTTGTAGAAATCTGGAATAGGGCAGTCAATTGGTGAAGGAAATATGCTTCGATTGGTTGTTAAGATTGATTTGAAGGATTTGTTTGGATAAATATAAACTTTGTTCTTGGGTACGTTGCTTTTGATTAATCCTCTATGCTTTTCCTTACCCATCAGACATCATTTGATTGCTGAAAAATCTGGAATATGAAAACAAAATCCAGTTTTGAATTTGATTTTAATTACTAAGAATTTTATGAATATTTGAATAACCCAGTTTTGATGCCTTCTCACTTCTAGGGTTTCAGTATTATGAACTATTAAAGAATTTTTAAAGTTAAAAATAAGATATAAAAAATAGAGAATAGAAAAAGGGAAGGTTGTAAAAGGCTCTAATGCTTTTTTTATAGACAATTGTTGTTGTTGTTTGTTTGTTTGTTTTTTTTTTTTTTTAATAGATTTGATAGACAATTGTTGTTGAATGTTGAATATTTAATTATTTCAGTTTATGTATTAATTCTACAACTAGTTGTGATTTTTTCTTACTGGGAATTTTATCTACTTTGATTTAAAACTTAACAGTGTTTTCTCAGTAAATAGTTGAAGCTTTCTTGGGTACGTTGCTTTTGATTAATCCTCTATGCTTTTCCTTACCCATCAGACATCATTTGATTGCTGAAAAATCTGGAATATGAAAACAAAATCCAGTTTTGAATTTGATTTTAATTACTAAGAATTTTATGAATATTTGAATAACCCAGTTTTGATGCCTTCTCACTTCTAGGGTTTCAGTATTATGAACTATTAAAGAATTTTTAAAGTTAAAAATAAGATATAAAAAATAGAGAATAGAAAAAGGGAAGGTTGTAAAAGGCTCTAATGCTTTTTTTATAGACAATTGTTGTTGTTGTTTGTTTGTTTGTTTTTTTTTTTTTTTAATAGATTTGATAGACAATTGTTGTTGAATGTTGAAAATTTAATTATTTCAGTTTATGTATTCATTCTACAACTAGTTGTGATTTTTTCTTACTGGGAATTTGAATCTACTTTGATTTAAAACTTGACAGTGTTTTCTCAGTAAATAGTTGAAGCACTTGAATTTGTTAAATTATTTCTTTAAATTGTTTATGTGAGGCAGCAACTTTTCTTTTTTGTTTTCTTTTTTCTTTTTTTTTTTTTTTTTTTTTTTTTTTTTGGTTTTTGGGTTTTTTAAATTAATTTTTTTTTTTTTTTTTTTTTTTTTTTTGTGGTTTTGGGTTTTTATATAATGATTTTTAATAAGGAATTTATTATTTTTTATATAATGATTTTTAATAAGGAATTTATTCTTTTTTATTTACTGATTTTTGATTGATTCCAACTAATATACTTCCAGATCAGGCAGCCATTGATACTTCAATTATCGTTATTCCTCCAGCAGTTTCGGTACTTTAGGCTCTCCTAAGAGAGGCTTTGGCCGTGCTGTTACAGTCTTCCAGTTTCAACTGTCAGGAGAACTTCAAATCTATAAACTTAATATGACAGTTAAAAATCCCAGTACACCGGCTTCAAAAATAGAGAGGACACCAGTATCCACTCCAGGTGGCTCCAAAGTTAGTGAAGAAAAGATTGTTGTAACAGTACGGTTAAGGCCTTTGAACAAACGAGAACAGTTGGCAAAAGACCAAGTAGCATGGGAGTGCATTGATGATCATTCGATTGTGCATAAACCACCATCCCTTGAGCGTGCTACTCAACCAGCCTCGTTTACATTTGGTACCCACGTGACACTTATCTCTTCTTCATAATTACTTTTTGCTAAATGATTTTGTTATATATATGTTTTAGATTTTATCAACATTAAAGAGCATAAAATTATTTTCTTCTTGTTTTTTTTTAAAATTTTCAGATAGAGTCTTTGGTCCATCTTCTTTAACTGAAACAGTATACGAGGAGGGAGTAAAGAATGTTGCTTTGTCTGCTTTAATGGGCATCAATGGTAATGTGTTATTTTGCAGTTATTTATTTCTTTTTTCTCTTTGATCCTACTTTGAAGAAACATATGCACACTTGTTATACAATTTGTTATTTCTTGTGTTGCAGCGACCATATTTGCATATGGGCAAACAAGCAGTGGGAAGACTTACACAATGAGAGGAATTACAGAGAAAGCTGTAAATGATATCTATAACCACATAATGAATGTAAGCTACATCACACGATTAATATTACGTAATTTGATTGTTTATCATGTTTGGGTGTACATAAATGCTCTCATGCCCAAGTGATGATGAAAAAGCCAATTCTGTTTGTGCAAATTTGTGATTGACCTGCCTAGTTAGGGAACTCAATATGAACAGTAATTTTTGATTTGTTACATTCAATCTGATTGTTTGCTGTTTTGGCATCATTGCAGACACCGGAGAGAGATTTTAGAATAAAAATTTCTGGGCTAGAAATCTATAATGAGAATGTCAGGGATCTATTGAATTCAGAATCTGGTCGCAATCTCAAGCTTTTAGATGATCCAGAGGTAAAACCTGTAGATAGTGATCAACAATTATAAGAAGCATATGTTTTAGCCTTTTCCCCTTCATAATATTTGTTTACTGTAATCCCTCGATGCAGAAAGGAACTGTGGTTGAAAAGTTGGTAGAAGAAACAGCAAATGGCAATCAGCATTTAAGACATTTGATCAGTATTTGTGAAGGTAAACATTTGAAGCTTTTTGCAACAGTTGGCATAGCTTCCTTTGTGTTCGTGTGTATGTGTCTTTAGAATATCATTTCCTTAACCTATTAATTAATCAACATTTTGCAGCCCAAAGGCAAGTCGGTGAAACTGCCCTAAATGATACTAGCTCACGGTCACACCAAATAATAAGACTGGTAAGCTTAATAGCTTTTAATGTATGTTCGCACTAGTGGATAATAATGTAGTTAGATACGACCAACTTATTGCAATTTTTTGGGTGACTATGCAGACAATAGAAAGTACTCTTCGTGAAAATTCAGATTGCGTGAGATCTTATGTGGCAAGCCTGGTAAAACAAACTTTTGTCTTCATATAATTGTATGAAATAGTCCGGAGAGCAGTAACTTCTAACTGTTACATTGTTGTTCTGCAGAACTTGGTTGATCTAGCTGGCAGTGAAAGAGCCTCACAGACGAATGCTGATGGTGCTAGGCTTAGGGAAGGCTGCCATATTAACCTTAGTTTGATGACTCTCACTACAGTCATTAGGAAGCTCAGGTCAGAGTTTATTAAGAATATGTTTCTGAATATTTAGACAGTATAGAGAAATCAAATGCTACTTCTATTTCCAATGGCTTTTAGCATTATTTTATTATGATTTAATTTAGCCTCTTTCTTTTCTTTTCTGTTTTATTTGGTGCGAGGGAACTTCAAGATGTTCATTCTAATGCTAAAAATATCTGTACTCATACAAGAATTTTAACTTCTTTTCTCAATTTCTGCAAGTCTTTGGTCTGGGTGTCAATTTGTTAGGCAGAATTTTGATTATTAATACCTTGAAAACCTTAAGAGTCCTAAAGTTTGCCACAAGAGATGTGTAGAATTGGGCATAGACCTCATTGTCATATCTGTTTCAATCACCTGCATAAGCCAGTCTTATTTTTACTTCTGTAGAATTGGCTTCACAGACTAACTGGTTCAATGGTCTTAAAATTCACCCAAAGACCTTGAGGGTTGTGGGTTTAAATCTGAAGGCAGCCATTTTAAACGTAATGGTTAAAAAGGTTAGATTTGTACCCAGTCCACCCGTGCCTAACCCCATTAATATAGAAACTAAACTGGGTGTACATTTTTTAAATTTATTTTCTTTAAATTGGGATTCATCCAAAATGGCTGATTCTTTGCGATTCAATGATAGGGTGGAGTTGGAACATGTAGATCGCCATAGACCTCATTGACATATATGGAACTGGTGTTTTAGTTTATTTGTTTGGTGATTCCGTAGTAATATCTATGTATAGAATTGGCCATAGACCTCATTGTCATATTTGTATTCAATCACCTGAAGAATCCAGTCTTATTATCCCTTGTGTAGAACTGGTTTCATAGACCAAACTCAACTCAACCCAACCCAACAAGCCTTAGTCTCAGTGACTTAGTCTTCACAAGTTCTTAATTGCACAAAATTGATGTTTTTGTTGATTTGTGAATTGTTGATGATTGCAGTGTTGGGAAAAGAAGTGGTCATATACCCTACCGAGATTCAAAGCTCACACGTATATTGCAGCACTCCCTTGGTGGGAATGCTCGCACTGCCATCATATGTACCTTGAGCCCTGCATTTAGCCATATTGAACAATCACGGAACACTCTCTACTTTGCTACCCGAGCAAAGGAAGTGACGAATAATGCCCAAGTAAACATGGTCTGTATTATGATTTCTCACCACTGTACATACATTCCATTTTCTTCTTTTGACAAAGGAAACTGTTTTCTCTGTAAGCACTCAATTCTGTTTCAATCTTGTTCAAAAACTTTGATTAGGTTGTCTCAGAAAAGCAGTTGGTAAAACATTTGCAGAAGGAAGTAGCCAGACTGGCTGCGGAGTTACGCACTCCAGATCCATCAAATGAAAAAGATCAGAAAATTCAACAGGTACTCTATCATTTAACGTTTGGTGTGATTCCCAATTTGTCTAGAAGGATTCAATTTAATACTTATTTTCTCCATACCAATATTTTTTAGATGGAGATGGAAATTGAAGAGCTAAGGCGCCAGAGAGATATTGCACAATCCCAAGTAGATGAATTACGTCGCAAACTTGAAGATGAACAACCGGTCTCTTTCTCCCCCTATCCCTCCTCCCCCTTTCTCTTTCTCACACACCTGAATTTACATGGGGCTTTATCTTTTGATGTTTGATACTACAGCAGGATTTAAATCCAGTTCAATCACCCAGTCCAGTAGTGAAGAAGTGTCTCTCTTTTTCCGGGGCATTATCACCAAAACTTGAGAGCAAGGAGCTAGACGGTGGCAATAAACCAAGAAATACAATGGGTAGGCAGAGCATGAGGCAGTCATCACTTGCTCCTTTCACACTCATGCATGAAATTCGGAAACTTGAACATCTTCAGGAGCAGCTTGGTGAAGAAGCAAATCGAGCTTTGGAAGTACTCCAGAAGGAGGTGGCTTGTCATAGACAAGGTAACCAAGATGCTGCAGAGACTATTGCTAAGCTCCAAGCAGAAATAAGGGAAATGTGTGCTATCCGACCGGCCCCAAAAGAAATTGAAGTGGGAAATGTGGTTTCTGTAAACAAGAGTGTTAGTGCCAATCTTAAGGAAGAAATAACTAGGCTTCACTCACAAGGAAGCACCATTGCAGATCTTGAAGAGCAGCTTGAAAATGTTCAGAAGTCCATAGACAAATTGGTAATGTCTCTTCCCAACAATAATGATCAACAACAGGCTATCAATGAGGCAGCTCTGAAAGCCAAGAATCAATCAAAAAAGAAGAAATTACTTCCTTTAACTTCAAGCAATAGTGCCAACCGGCATAACTTTATACGATCTCCATGCTCACCTCTATCATCTTCTCGTCAAGTGTTAGAGTCTGAGATTGAAAATAGAGCTCCTGAAAATGATAATCCTGTGACTTGTGAAACTCCACCCATATCCGAGAAAGATACTCCTACAAAGAGTGAAGAATGTGGAGATGCATCATCTAAGGAAGGTACTCCATATCGGCGTTCTAGTTCAGTCAATATGAGGAAAATGCAGAAGATGTTCCAGAATGCAGCAGAAGAAAACGTAAGAAGCATTCGCGCATATGTGACGGAACTTAAAGAACGTGTAGCAAAGTTGCAATATCAAAAGCAGCTACTTGTTTGCCAGGTAATTTAGGGGCCTTTTGCCTTATTATGTCAAAAATCTCTACCTATTTTAGTCGTACACACAAAAATTTGTTTCATTTGCTTATGTTATGCCTCCAGGTGCTTGAGCTGGAAGCAAATGAAGCAGCTGGGTACAACTACAACATAGAGAATGATGACAGCATAGCTGAGATACAAGAGGCGTCACCAGCTTCATGGCATGTGACTTTTAGGGAGCAGAGACAACAGATCATTGAATTATGGGACATGTGTCATGTTTCAATCATTCACAGGACAGAGTTCTATTTATTATTCAAAGGGGACCCGGCTGATCAGATATACATGGAAGTCGAACTCAGGCGTTTGACTTGGTTGCAGCAACACTTGGCAGAACTTGGGAATGCAAGCCCAGCTCATGTTGGAGATGAGCCTACAATCTCTTTATCATCAAGGTTTGTTTCCTTTTGGTGAGGCTAGTTACCAAAATTCTGAACTGTCTTTCATTTTAAATGACTAAACTAGCTAACATTTGCACAACTTGTTATACATTTCAGTATTAGAGCATTGAAGCGTGAAAGGGAGTTCCTTGCAAGGAGGTTAATGACACGTTTGACATTTGAGGAGAGAGAAGCATTATACATAAAATGGGAAATCCCACTAGATGGGAAGCAGAGAAAGATGCAATTTTTAAACAAGCTTTGGACAGATCCCCATGATCCCAAGAATATTCAGGAGAGTGCGGAGATAGTAGCAAAACTTGTTGGATTCTGTGAAGGTGGAAATATGTCAAAGGAGATGTTTGAGCTTAATTTTGTGCTTCCATCTGATAAGAGGCCGTGGCTTATGGGCTGGAACCAAATTTCAAACCTTCTTCATTTGTGAGAAGCTGCAATTAGCTTGTACGTACTACATCACGTTCTTATTTAGTTTGGTGTGGCTGGTCGACCCCAAGATGAGATTTGGGGTATTTATTATTGTAATTCTCATTTTGCATGATGAGAATTGGAGTATTTGCATTCTCATTTTTTGCAATAAAAGAATCCGATTCATTTTTTCTTGTCCAAACTGTTTCTGCCTAGTGGTGTGTGTAATGTGCAACCAAGACATGCCTTTAAGCATCCATAAGTCCAAATTTCAATTAGAATAAAGTTCATTGTTGACTGGTAGTAACATGTACTGTGTGACTTCTTGGAACATATAGTAGTGAAAGAGAAGTCATAGTGGTAATTCTAGTGAGATGATCTAGGTCCGAGTTAGAGGTTTAAAAGATGATGTGCTGGAATCACTATGCAAAAGTTATGATGACCTGAATTCATGCTTTTCAAATATACAATTAGATATAACAAGAAATAACTAGACTTTTGCTGACCTGAAATTTTGAGTAGAGTTGCATATGCCATGTAGGTTGATAACATATCAAACTTCTTCTTCTTCTTCTTTTTGAAATTAGGTTTTAGCTAGTTTAGATTACTTGCTTGTTATTAGAATAAAGATTAATTCTGTAACCAAAAATTATTTTTATATTTTAGATTTACAATCAACAAGTAAAAGGTTGATCAGAAGGTTATCAAATAGAGTGATTTATGCTCCATTTGTTTGGGTGTAAAAATATTTTTGTATTTTTTGGTATTTGATACAATGGAAAACGAAAGTTAACAAAAAAAAATTTCATGATAAACAGAGCAGTGTTCTCCACTTTTAAAAAGTGAAAATATTTTCCAAACTAAACTCTTACCACCACCACACCACCACGACTACTATCACCGCTGCAGCCACCCACCACCGCTACAAATAGAAAAATATTTTCTTTGGAAAACATTTTCTAACAAAAGTTTTTCGTAAAAAATGTTTTTCATTAGAAAATGTTTTCCACACCCTAACAAACAGAGCGTTAATCTGATTACAGATTCAAAGGCTAAATCACAGTAGCTTTTGTGTGAGGATTTGGAGCTGAATTTCAGGTTGATGCTTTATCAGGATTTGGGGCTGAAAGTGCATTTAGGAGCTGATTTCCAGCGCCCCCCTCCCCTCAAAAAAAAAACTCCATCTGTTCCTTCCAGCATCCTCAAACTCGTCTCTTCTTTGTTTGTTTCTTAAATTTGTTAGAAAAAGTGGAGGGAAAGGAGGAGACTAGTCTCTGAAAGTGAATTTTCTTTTTAACTTTTATAAAATTCAAACAATGAAATCTTATTTTCTTGTAATTTTATGGAAAAGATTTCTACCAATTAAATATATGATGAAAAGTTGATATTCTTTCACTTTCCTTTCATTCACTTTTTATTGTTATTTTCATCCCAACCAAACATATTTCAAATGAAAAGTAAACCCAATTCCTTTCTTTTTGTTTGGTATAAAATTAGAAGAGTGTTTTTCTTACTCCATTTTTTTAATTTTTTACTTCGCTTTTATTTTTATCCTTCAATTTTTCAATAAAAGTATTCAATATGCAATTTTATTTTTGCTGATTTGTTATATGAGCTGAGAAAAAAACTTGTTTTTTCATAATTTAAAGTTAAAATGTGGAATGCAATAGATTGAAAACAGAAAGGCATAAATTAAATGAGAGGAATTGGGGCTTCTTTGTTTTTTTGCTTTGTGTGTGTGTTTTTATATACCCAATTCTTTTATTATTGTTCATATGTCTCCTTCTGTTCTCTTAGTCGAACCAAATAAGAGCAAGAAATTTAGATTTTTCAATTTTTTTTTTTTTTTTTTTTTTGGGACAAATCTAAAAACCAAGCAGAACTAGGAAGAAATAAAATAAGGAAATTAAGGACAAAATAAGGAAGTTTGTTTCTCATGTCAATTTGGTTCTTGTAATTCAAATTGTATCAATTTTATTCCATAATTTTTCATATCAACAAGCTAGAAGCGACTTTAATAATCACTTCATGATAGAAATTAAGGACAAAATGATCCATTTCAAAACCCCCCGATCATTTTAAAGAGAGTAAATGAATTATTTTACATTTTCATTTCAATCCAATTTTTAAAGTGTCATTATCAATTGAATTAAATTAATACTATGTAAAAAAAAAAAAAATCAATGGTAAATTGATTTAGTTAGAATTATAAAAACCAAAATAAGGACTAGGCATCTAATTTATCCATAAAAGAATCAATCCACAAAATTTTATTTTCCTTTCACTATAGACATCTTTTATGTATATGTATGATGAACATCTATTTTCTCACACAACCATTTTGAAATCTTATTTCTGAAAATAAATTGCAATAACTTATCCCTAGGATTGAATGGTTTTAATTTTGAAAAGGAAAAGTCTGGATCCCAGAATTTATCCGGACATATGTGGTAGAGATTAAATTGATGAAGTATGGAGTCCACGAATAAAATGAATTTGAACTATTAATGGTTGTTGTTAAAATTTACCATCACCTACCACCAATTTACCATCACCTACCACCACCTACTCCTCACCTACTACACTCACCCTCTCCTATATAATGAGCCACTCACCATTTGTAATATACACAACAACATATATCAATCAATAATACATGAATTTTAACAGTTGTTTCTAGGTAAATTCTGGATAAATAATTTTAGGTTTATAGTATTGTTGTTTTGAAAAATGAATTGCAAGAGGTTGTTGTGTTTTGACTGTTTTGTATAATTTAAATGCACATTAAAATTCCTGAACAGCTTGGGAGTTGCAGAAAAAAGTTTCCTTTGCTGCGGATGAGAGTTAACATCCTTAGATTGGGTGATTTGATGAGAAATAAATGAAACGAAAAGAAATGCATTTGTCTTGATTCATTTCTTTGTAAATCTTCATCCATGTGTTTAGAAAGAAATGATCATGGTAAACCCGCACGATTGTTATGTTAAAATTATTAGATGCATCCAACCCATTAAGCTATTTTAACTAAGCTTGGGTCACTATTTATTTCATCAGGTTAAGAGGCAATTTTTTTGTGAACTTGTAGTTTCTATGTAAATTGAAGAAGAACAAAAAAATAGAAGAATACGAATATATGATAGTTTCATTAACATTGTGTTTAAATCTTGAATTTAAAAAAAAAAATTAATTAATTAATTAAAATTTTAACACATTTTTTTTTAAATATATTTTTTCTTTATAAATTCTTTTACATTCAAGATCCAAATACAAACCCCCAAAAAAGATTTGGGCTTGCAAATCAGGGCTTGTGCACACACACAGGTATAGATGTCTTGTTCAACAGATTACATGATCCAACATGAATACAAGAGATGACCCCAAACCTTTATTTCCATTATAACTAGTAACCATTACACCAACCAGTACATGGTATAAAACACCAAATTTAGCCCTACTATATATATATATATTATGAAATTATTTTATAATATAACTTGTGTCCATACAGTGCTACCTGTATGGGACAGACAACACAAACTAACCATAAAATCACAGCAAGACTGATCACTCATTCTCTCTCTCTCTCTCTCTCTCTCTCTCTCTGCTTCAGAATATATGGTGTACAAGAAGCATGATATATATAGAGAGAGAAAGTGTCTTAGCACTTGGGGATGGGAACCCCACAAGTGGTAGCTACTTTCCTGGCATTAGGAGAGGTAATATACTTCTTGAGGTTGGGGTTCTTGACATACTGGCAAAGGCAAGGCTTTTGCTCCTTGATCTTAGAGCAGCACAGCTTTGATGGAGGTGAGCCTGATGTGATTGCACCCACGCAAGAGTTCAGCTCTGTTGGGTTGCATGTCACTGCCATGGAGACTTGTGCTTCATAGGCCAGTAGGATCAGAACCAGCACTGAGCACACTGCAATGTATGAAGCCTTCATTTTTCACTTAAATCACTCAAAAGTACTTTTGATGATATGTGAGAGGGAGAGAGATGATCACTTAGGGGTGTGGTTCAATTGGCTTGGTTTGCATCTCAATTTATAGATGGACTCATTGCTAACAAAATGCCCTAAAAAGGCTTGGCTAAAGTTGCGAGGAATTTTTTATTTTATTTTATTAAAATATGATATTGGGAAAATTTATAATACAATATACTCAATTATGACGTGTGATGTTTGGTTATCATTTATTGTGATATTAGTTATGATTTAATTATGATTTATTGTTATGTTGGTTATGACTCAGTATTATCATTTATTGTGGTATTAATTGTGTCTTGGCTATAATTTATTGTGATATGAGTTATGATTCATTGTTATGTTGGTTATGAGATTATTATTATTTTGGTTATGATTTAAAATGTCTTTAGTTATACCTTATGTTTTTATGACTCATTTTTTTTTTTATATTTTAATTATGACTAAAAAATGATTTAGTTGTGACGTATAGTAATCAACATCACAAATGTCATAATTTGCATACACAACCTTTTGAGAGTGTGTATTCTAATTATGATATTACAATGAAATTCAATCAATTACAATTATAACAAACATACAACATATAATTAATATAAAGAAAATCTTAATTTGGGAGAGAAAAACTCTAAACAAATATACGGGAATAATTCCTACAAGCACACGAGGAAATTTGAACCTCTGATCTCTCAATGAAGTGCTATTAATTGTTATAGATTATGGAAATTTAGGCTTTCTAGCTTTTTTTTTTCTTTTGGGTGTGTACAATGTTTGGTAGAGCTGTGGAAAAGTGTTTATAATTTATGTCTTAACAGCTTATAGCTTATAACTATAAACATAAGTTTATTTCTGACTTATAAATTAAGTATCTTCTGCCCCACTCAAAGAATAAGCTGACTTCTGACTTACAAAAAGCTATAAGCTGCATTGTTAAGCTAAACCAAACACATCAAAATAGCTTAAATTAAGCTGAAAGTTGAAATAAGCAGCTTTTAAGCTGCACCAAACAGACACAATGAATATCAATGTTAATTTATTGGGTAAATTATACCCATTTTTTTTTCTAAGGTTTGAACAAATTATAGTGTCTGTTTTTATTATTTTGACAATTATATCAATATTACTTGAATTTCAAAATTTTGTCCAATTTTTCCTTTTATTAAATTTTTTTTTAAAATTCAAAATAGAAAACGGGTTAACTAGTGCAAAAAATTACATGTACCCTTAATAGTTGTTTTTGAGAATTACTTATTTTAGTTGATACAAAATGGTATGTTATATCAATTATTGGAAGGAAGGTGAGTGTAATTATATAAAAACTTTGAGACTTACTACATATATATTTTTAAATCTCATGAATGGTTAATGTAACTTATCCCAATTTATACATGCAAAGCATATGATATAAAGTAATGAGCAAGACATGTACCATGTAAGAATTGATAGATACCTAAATTGTTTGGTAAAATTTATGTATAACTAAAACAAATCTCAAATTATCATAAAACTCAGTAAATTATAATAATAATAATAATAATAATAATAATAATTAAATACAATATATATAATCAAGATGAAAGAGAAAAATTTCAACAAATATATCAAAAATAAGATTCATACACAGATAGAAAAATTCAAATCCCTATCAGACTAATATGGTTGATAAATACATATACATGTCACCTTTAAAAAAAAGTTAGGCACCGTATGGTTTATTTTTTAAATTGTAATTTGACAGCCAAAAACTAAAAATCCATTTGGTTATAGGCTCTGTTTAGTTTAGTTTTAGAATCATAATTTCAATGTGAAGTTGTGATTTAAGTGTAGAGTTATGAGTCAAGTATAAAGAGAAATTTTGTTTATTTATAAGTTTTGAGTTTTGAGTTATATTTTGAAATTTTTTTGATTTATTTTTTTAAAATATTTAAAAATCTTTAAGAAAATTTTATTCTTTTATTTTAAATATGTATTTTTTAATTTTAAATATATTTATTTTATTTTTTTAATATTTTAAACTCAAAACACAAACTCCACACTCAAATCATAATCAAATATATAACTCAAAACTCAATTCAAAACTCATAGCCAAACTCTTTTTAAAATTCTATTAAAAAAATTCAATTTTTTTTTATTTTGTTCTTTAAAATTATTTTTTATTTTTTATTTTTTTATTTTTGGAAAATACTTTTTCTTATTTTTTCAAGTATTGACAAAATAATTTGTTATTATTTATATATATCGCGATCATAAAATTTTTAAAATTAAAAAAATATATATTTAAAAAAAAGTAAAAAAATAAAAACTATTTAAAATATTTATAAAATAAAATAAAATATTTAAAATAAAAATTATATATTTAAAGTAAAAAAAAAAACATTTTAAATATTTAAAAAAAATACAACTCAAATATTTTTAAAAAAAATACAGCGCACAATTGTATGAAATATAGTGCACATTGCAAAAATAAACTCAAATTTTTTTTCAAAACTTATAACCAAATAAATTTTCTCTTTTCAAAACACAACTCCACACTTAAATCATGACTTTAAAAAATAAAATAAAATAAAATAATTTTTTTGATTTTTAAAATGGAGTTTTAAAAAGAGTTTGGTTATGAGTTTTGAAGAAAATTATGAATTGAATTTTAAATTGTGTGTTTGATTATAAGTTTTGAAAATAATTTTTGAATAAAGTTTTGAGTTGTGTATTTGATTATAAATTTTAAAAACAGTTTTGAAATTTTTTAATTAGAATAACAATTTGAAAAAATAACCAAATGGGACGATTTTCAAAGCGCATAACGAAGCAGGTTTTCAATATTCAAAATTATTTTCAAAAATTTATCTTTCAAAATTAATTTCAAAACTTTTTTTTTATATGATTTGATGTTATGTTAAAAAATATCTTTTTCTATTTTTTTTAAATTTTAAAAAAAAATTATTTTGCTCTTTCAAATTTTTTTATTTTTGAAAAAAAATATATATTTTGTTATTTTTTTAAGTATTGGCCAAATAATTTGTTATGATTTAGATATATGTGAGTGATTTAAAAATTTTTAAAATAAAAAATGGGGGATGCACCAATAAATCCCAAATTAATAACTTATGCACTGTTTAGTCCTAAAAGTTTTCTTATAGACTGAAAGGTCCCATTACAATGTTAATAACATCAGATACAATGTTAATAACATCAGAGTCATGTTACAAACATTGGATTTCAAACATCTAATGTTCATCAAATTTCAATAATGTTTGAAAATATATAAAATATAAAAAAATATTTTTTTTCAAAAAAATATTTAAAAAATAAAAACTACAATTATTTAGATTACATATGTAAAAGAAGTAAACAAAATTGACTAAAAAGTTTTGACTACAACACAACATCCGAAAAATCTCTTAAAAAACTAGATTGAAAACTCCTAATTAAACAAGTTTTTAATTTGTAAATTTCTAAAAATTACTTTTAAAATATACAACTTAAAAATTAGTTTCAAAACTCATAACTAAACAAATATATTAATTTTTAAAAATTTATCTTTTAAAATACAACTTAAAACTCAAAACTCTTTCTAAAAATTTTATTTTGGAATTTATATGACGGACTTTATGGAATTTATATGACCGACACTGCACACACTAGGCTGAAACAAGGCCTACGGCAAATTTTGGTAAATAATTATATGTTGGGATCAATTTGTACATATTTCAATTAAGTTCGAAGTTTTGAAATTAGCGGTTGAATAAGTTTATAGTAACCGGGCTTCGTTTGTAATGTGGATTAGTTTTTTAATTTTATAACTTTTTGGTTATTATCCTGATACTAAAACATCACATTTGAAATTAATTTTTTTTACTTTTTTAATTTTTGTAAAAGAAAAGATAAAATAATTATAATTTTGATGTAATATTTTTTATCCTAAGATTAAAAAGTTATTTTATTTTTTTATAACTATTTTAATCCCAACTCATCATGCCAAATCAATGCTAGGTGACTCATACTCAGTATCTTAGATTTTATTTTTAAATTTTTTACTATTCGATGAACCTCTCAAAATTAAAAAAGCTATGGCATAAATTCTTCTATTTGAAATTTGCTAACTGCTTTGTTTCTACGTCTTTCATGAAGAGACTTACAAGTTACATGTAACAATTTTATTTGGTATTTTATGAGAAAAATTAAAGAAATATTATTTGTACTATTAAAATATAATATTTTATTATTATTCATTATTAAAATATAAAAATAAGGTCAAATTACATATACCTCCCTCGAGGTTTAGCTAAATTACAGATACCCCCTGAGATTTTGAAAATTACATCCCGCCCCCTGAGGTTTGTATTTTCATAACAATTTGCCTTCTGAGGTTTATATTTCATAACAAATTACCTCCTAATTTGTTATGCAAATATAACATTCATGGGAGAATTTATAATTTCTCAAACCTCGTGGGGTATCTATAATTTAGCCAAACCTCGAGGAGGTATATGTAATTTGCCCTAAAAATAATTAGGGGTTGTTTGAGATGTCCTAAATAAGTGCACTTTTTGACTTTTTAGACTAAAAAGTTGAGAAAAAATATATGGTTGTTTGGGTTAACTTTTTGACTTTTTATGAATAAATGTGTATTAAAAAATTGTATAAATTAGTGTGCAGGGAAAAATTAGAATTGAGAGATGTGCAGCCGTAATTTTTAACTTTTGGTGAATAGTAATAACTTTTTAATTTTTTGAATAACTTTTTAACTTTTTAATTTTTTTTTAACTTGTCAAACTTAACCTTAGTCATTTAGTTATTAAATTATTAGAGATGCTCTACCAGCAACTTCAGTTGATGGTGAAGTTACTGGTTATAATGTTGTTATTGGCCTTATTAAATTATTAGTGATGCTCTAACAGCAACTTCAGTTGATGGCTATAATGATGTTATTGGCCTTATTTGGGAAATGGGAAAATTAGTCTATTATCTCCCTCCAATTTTTAGGTCTGGTTTGGAAACAGGTTGTTTTTAATAAATTTTTAGTTTTTTAATTAAAATATGATGTAAAAAAAATTAATCACTGTGTTTGGTTTGAGTTTTCTAGATTAAGTTTTTTTATTTTCGTGTTTTTTTGTTTTTAGTGAATATTTTTAAAATTTTAAATATTTTTTTTTACTTTTTTAGATGCACCTTACTTAAATGTGTCTAAAAAGTAAAAAAATTGTGAAAAAATATTCTAAAAAATTAAGAAATACATAAAAATATAAAAAATGTATTAAATTCTTGTATTTTTTTATATTTTTGGTATTTAGTGAATTTTTAAAAGATTTTTTTTATAATTTTTTACTTTTTAGATGTATTTATGTTAGGTGTGTCTAAAAAGTAAAAAAAAATGCATAAAATATTTAAAAAATTCAGTAAAAATAAAAAAACACGGAAAATAAAAGTGTAGAATTTTTTGAAAACTGTTTTTAAAAAATGGGAACCAAGCAAATGTTTGAGATGAATTTTTGACTTTTTATGAAAAGATGTGCAAAAAGTAGAAAGAAAGGAGAATCTTTGACTTTTTGGTGTGAGTTGTTGACTTTTTAGCTTTTTTAATGACTTTTTAACTTTTTAGCTAAACAAGTCACTTGCAAACGAGGCCTCGTTTGGAAACATGCTAATTTAGTAACTTTTTTGCTATTTGGCTAAAATATGAGTTAAAAAAAACTAGAGGTTCCGTTTGGCAAGAGCTAAACGGGACTTTTTTGGCTATTTTAGCCACAAAAGACAAAATAGGCTATTTTAGCCACAAAAAACAAAAAATCACATCCAACCCATAATCATTACATTCTTCTCTCATAAAAAAAATCAAAAAAAATTAAAAAGTCAAAAAGTCCTTCCCAAACCAAACTTTTTAGCCCAGGCTAAAATAGCCAAAAAAGTCAAAAAGCCAAAAAGTCAACCCACTTCCCAAACGGAGGCTATGTTTGGGATGATTTTTTGACTTTTTATGAAAAGATGTGCAAAAAATAGAAAGAAAAGAGAATCTTTGACTTTTTCGTATGGATTGTTGGTTTTTTGGCTAATTTTTTTGACTTTTTGACTAAACCAGCTAGTCCCCAAACGAGGCCTTAGTAATGAAATAAGTTCACAATATTTTCTTTTATAGTCTAAGGTCCCTCACCCCCATATCTTTATATCACACCTACACTCTCATTCTCTCTCTACTCTCCTCTGTTTCTACTCTCTCATCTCTATTCCTCTCTATCTAGGGTTTTGATTGCACGAGAGAGAAGGGGAAGACGATAAGGACGATGATTGCTCCGATGAAGATTCCGATCACTGCGAGTTTCAGTTCCAATTCCAGTTTCGATTCCAATTCCAATACCAATTCGAATAATAAAGATAAAAGCTCCAAACTCACCGAAAAGAACTTCGATTTGGAGGATATCCTAAAGAATGAGTATGTTCGAATCAAGTCCTATACTGATCAAACAGTTGTCCTACAAAATTGGAAGAAAGTCCAACAATCTATCAAGGAAGGTATATCTGAAGAATCTCTCTATCTACTCATGTCTATGGCTTGTCATTTGCCGAACCCTAAAGATGGTTTGCCATTAATGGCTGACTATTTTCCTAATTCCACTCTTTCTTCCCAAACAAAGCTCCGATCGACCAATCTCATAAGGAAGGTATCTAGAATTCAGCCCAGTTGCCTAGTAAATTTCCTGTAAATAATTTCTATTATTTATTTTTCTTGTAAACAATTGAATGAGTTTTCTATTGATATCGCATTTACAGTGAATCCTCTCTTCTATCAACTATCTATGCCTGATGTCACGCCCAGTTAAGGAAATGATTGTAAACAATTTTCACTAGCTTGAGATTGTGAAGAATTCTCTGATTTAAAATTGTAAACAACCACAAAGAAATTAAAATTTCTCTGGTTTAAAATTGTGAACAAACATAGAGAAATTTATGAACAAAGCCAAAGAAATTTCAATTTTCTCTGGTTTAAACAGAATTTCTTTAGAGAAAATTTATCTGGGAAGTCCAGAGAAATCTCTCTGGGATCGAAATTTCTTTGGATTGATATTGGGGGACCTTAGACATTATGAAAATATTGGATGTCCTTTATGCTATAAAATCTTAATACCAGGGACTCTAAAAAAAAATCCCCTTGAGAAATTGATTATTTTAGTTGGCTATTTAATTTTAGGGAAATTACGTGTAGATCTTACTAAGTGGATTTATTATCTAATAGGTCCTATGATAAGTAGTAGTATTTTTTATCATACACTATTAAAAAATGTCACTAATTGTTAATTTTCAATAAAAGTTTAAAAATTGTCACAAAAAATGTCACTAATTATAAGTTTTAGCGACGGTTAAAAAAATCATCATAAAAAAAATCACTAGTTTTCAACTGTCAGCTACATGTTGAAATATTCGTCATAGAAAAACGTTATTAATTGTAAATTTTAACGACAATTTATAAAAATTATAATAAAAAAATTGCTAATTATCAATTTTTAGAAACATGTAAAAAATTGTCACAAATTTTTTTTTAACTACGATTGTACTAAGAATTATTTTCAATAGAACGTGATGAGAATTAAATCTCCTCTGATTTTTTGATATTTGAAAATTTTGAGAATTACATGCAAAAAATTACTATCAGACTGATATGGTCGATGCATAACACAACATCCAAAAAATTTCTTTTAAAAACTAGTTTTGAAAACTTTTAAGTAAATAAGTTTTTAATTTATAAATTTCTAAAAAATACTTTTAAAATATACCACTTAAAAATTAGTTTCAAAATTTATAACTAAACAAATATTTTAATTTTTAAAAATTTATCTTTTAAAATAAAACTCAAAACTCTTTCTAAAAATTAAAACTTAGTTTTTTGGATTTATTTTGGAATTTATATGACGGACTTTATGGAAAAGTATCATGCATTGTTACTGTTAAATTTAAAGGACAATTTTGAGCCGACACTGCACACACTAGGCTGAAACAAGGCCTGCGGCAAATTTTGGTAGATAATTATGTGTTAGGATCAATTTGTGCATATTTTTTGAAGTTTTGAAATTAGTGATTGAATAAATTTTCAGTAGCCGGGCTTCGTTTGTAATTTTTTTTTAGTTCTTTAACTTTTTAGTTATTATCTTCAAATAAAAAAATCTCATTTGAAATGAATTTTTTTAATTTTTATGAAAAAAAATAATAATAATTATAATTTTGATATGACATTTTTAATCTTAAAATTAAAAGGTTTATTTTTTCTTTTTATAACTATTTTAATCCCAACTCACCCCAACTCATCCTGTCAAACTAGTGCTAGGTGACTCATTCTCAATATCTTAGATTTTATGTTTAAATTTTTACTATTCGATGAATCCCTCAAAATTAAAAAAGCTATGGCAGAAATTCTTCTATTTGAAATTTGCTGACTGCTTTGTTTCTACGTTGTACGGGGAAGAAATAATTCTCCTCGTATAATCCTGTTGACCAAGTCCACGCTCCTCCGTACGACGTCGCTTTGTCACCTGAAAACAAGACTGATATGGTCGATGCATAACACAACATCCAAAAAATTTCTTTTAAAAACTAGTTTTGAAAACTTTTAAGTAAATAAGTTTTTAATTTATAAATTTCTAAAAAATACTTTTAAAATATACCACTTAAAAATTAGTTTCAAAATTTATAACTAAACAAATATTTTAATTTTTAAAAATTTATCTTTTAAAATAAAACTCAAAACTCTTTCTAAAAATTAAAACTTAGTTTTTTGGATTTATTTTGGAATTTATATGACGGACTTTATGGAAAAGTATCATGCATTGTTACTGTTAAATTTAAAGGACAATTTTGAGCCGACACTGCACACACTAGGCTGAAACAAGGCCTGCGGCAAATTTTGGTAGATAATTATGTGTTAGGATCAATTTGTGCATATTTTAATTAAATTTGAAGTTTTGAAATTAGAGATTGAATAAATTTTCAGTAGCTGGCCTTCGTTTGTAATTTTTTTTTAGTTTTTTAACTTTTTAGTTATTATTTTGAAATTAAAAAATCTCGTTTAAAATGAATTTTTTTAATTTTTATGAGAAAAAAAAATAATTGTAATTTTGATATGACATTTTTAATCTAAGATTAAAATGTTTATTTTATCTTTTTATAACTATTTTAATCTCAACTCATCCTGTCAAACTAGTGCTAGGTGACTCATTCTCAATATCTTAGATTTTATGTTTAAATTTTTACTATTCGATGAATCCCTCAAAATTAAAAAAGCTATGGCAGAAATTCTTCTATTTGAAATTTGCTGACTGCTTTGTTTCTACGTCTTTCATAAAGAGACTTACGAGTTACATGTAACAATTTTATTTGGTATTTTATGAGAAAAATTAAAGAAATATTATTTGTACTATTAAAATATAAGATTTTATTATTATTCATTATTAAAATATAAAAATAATTAGTCATTTATTTATTAAATTATTAGAGATACTCTAACAGCAACTTCAGTCGATGGTGAAGTTGCTGGTTATAATGTCGTTATTGGCCTTATTAAATTATTAGCGATGCTCTAACAGCCACTTCAGTTGATGGTTATAATGATGTTATTGGCCTTATTTGGGAAGAACAATGCTACAGACCCCCAGTGACGTGGCGCGGTCTCATTGGCTGAAAATAAAATAAAATAAAAATAATAATTTATTTTTTGCCCAATCAGGGACCTACACGCACGACCCCAGCACCCCCACTGGGGGTCGGAGGCATTTTCCATTTGGGAAATGGAAAAATTATTCTACCGTCTCTTTCCAATTTTTAGTAATAAGATAAGTTCACAATATTTTTTTTGTAGTCTAAGGGTGTGTTTGATTAGACGGACTAGATAAAGGGGGATTAGAATCTATCGGACTTGAATCTTGTGACTGTGCATTTGATTCGTCGGATTAAACGGGGTCTATCCACTGTTGGGATTGTAATTCAATAGAAGTTTTTTACCCGGCATTTTTTTTTTTTTTAATCCGCTGGATATGAAGTCCGGCCGGACTCCTTATTCCTCATATGGGGAATTATACTATCCTAGGGGGGGGTGTGGGACAATTTTGGGAGGATTATTTACTGTTGGGATTAGGTGGTGAAATGACCATTTTGACCATCTACTATTTAATTATGTATTATATTTAGTAAAATTCAATAAAATTTAAATGTCTCAATTTAAAAATAAAATAATTTTATTTAACTTTTCACTGATGTTTTATTTATTTAATTTTTTTAAAATAATTTTTTATAAATATTTTATTGATGTTTTATTTTAAAATTTGTTTATATTTTATTTAATTTCATTATTTAAATTTTAATAGATGTTTTATTTAATTTCATTATTTAATTATTATTATTTTTAAAAATAAGTTTATTTAAAATTTTAATTAAAAAATAACATATATTTTTATTGATATTTTATTTATTTAATTTTTAAAAAATAAGTTTATTTAATCTAGCTAAAAATAATTAAAATATTAAAGATATATTCAATATTGCTATTATTTAGTAAACAATTGAAAAAAAAGGTAAAATAGTCTTTTACTCATTTATTCTATCCAGTCCGTCCAACCAAACATTAGATTTACTAAAAATAGTATTTTTCAGACATCTAATCCCATGAGAAAACAAGCACGGGATACACATCCAATCCAACCAAATAATCCGGGGGATTTACAATTCTAGGATTCAAGTCCAATGGATTCTAATCCCCCATTATCCAGTCCGTTTAATCAAACACACCCTAAGGTCCCTCACCCCCATACCCTTATACCATACGTACACTCTCATTCTCTCTCTACTCTTCTCTGTTTCTACTCTCTCCTCTCTCTTCCTCTCTATCTAGGGTTTCAATAGCACGAAAGAGAAAGGGAAGACGATGAAGACAATGATTGCTCCGATGAATATTCCGATCACTGCCAGTTTTAGTTCCAATTCCAATTCCAATACCAATTTGAATAATAGAGATAAAAGCTTCAAACTTATCAAGAAGAACTTCGATTTGAAGGATACCCTAAAGAATAAGTATGTTCGAATTAAGTCCCACACTGATCAAACACTTGTTCTACAAGATTAGAAGAAAGTCCAACAATCTATCAAGGAAGGTATATCTGAAAAATCTCTCTATCTACTCATGTTTATGGCTTGTCATTTGCCGAACCTTGAAGATGGTTTGCCATTAATGGCTGATCATTATCCCAATTCCACTCTCTCCTCCCAAACAAAGCTCCGATCGACCAATCCCATAAGGAAGGTACCTAGAATTCAGCCTATTTGCCTAGTAAATTTCCTGTAAGTAATTTCTATTATTTATTTTTTCTTGTAAAAAATTGAATGAATTTTCTATTCATATAGCATTTACAATGAATCCTCTCTTCTAACAACTATCTATAGCGATCCCGGATTTACCCTTGTTGTACAGTGATCCGGACATGGGTCCGTAGATGTTGGTAGTTGTTCTTTATCTTGTTTACATCCTTTTTACTTCGTATTTGAGTTATAGGATGTGTTGGGCAGGTTTGTTACAGGTTGGTTGAGTTTAGAAACCAAAACTAGTTGCCCAGATTTTGGCCTGTCCGCTCGAGCGGGGGTGTTGGCGCTCGAGCGGGGAATACACCCATCCAGTATTTCTTGTGCAGTGTTGTACGCTCGAGCGTGGGTTTGGCCGCTCGAGCGGGGTTGTGTGAGTTCCGCTCGAGCGTAGAGTTGGGAGCTCGAGCGGAGGCCTGGTTCTGTAAAAGTGCTGGGAGAGTGCATTCTGCGCTCGAGCGGGAGTTTGTGCGCTCGAGCGGAAGTCTGTGAGTGACGCTCGAGCGGGGTGTTTTACGCTCGGTCGAGGGCGTCGTTTTCATCCGAGAATCTTGGTCTTTGGAGCATTTTGATTTTGGTCTTCATCTCCTTTGGAGCTCAAACTTTGAGGTAGGGATATCCTACTCCTCTCTATGAATTCTGTCTTTAAATTTTGGTATTTTGGGATGTTGGTGTTGGTTTGGTAAATTTGGGAAGGTTAGGGGCTTTTGTGTAATTTTACAAAGGTTGGGGTTTAATTCATAATAAACCGAGATGCATGTTTGGCATAGAGAATAAATGTTAAATCATTGATGAAAAGGGACCTAAGGGTTGAAATGGTAATTATGGAATTGACCTAGTTACATTGTTTGATTAATTGGGATAATTAATGGGAAATGAGGAAATGTAATGTTGATTGAATATCCATTGTGCATTTATTTTCTGTTTAGAAATAACTGCTTTGGGCTATCGGTGGAGGATAGTCGTGATTGTTGTAGACAATGCATGATGATTAAGCAAACGGAAACTAATCAATGGAATGTGTCATGGGACTTGACGGTTGATAGAATACATTAACTGTATGTATTGTGTGGTTGTATATAGAACCATTGTGTTTGTATACGTTATGTGTAGAGGAGGAGATAGGGGATGTACTCCGCGGTTTAGGGGAAGATAGGGGATGTACCTCTAAACCGGATAGTGTTGGGAGAAGATAGGGGATGAACTCCGTAGATATAGCTCATATGTTTGTCTAGTCAAGTGAAGATAGAGCTCATATGCTTATCTTTGTGAAGTGTGGATATAGCTTATATGCTTATCTGTGGATATTGTTGATATACATATCTGTTGTAGAATGTGGATATAGCTTATTTGCTTATCTGAGAATGTGGATATTGTTGTTATACATATCTGTTGAGAATGTGGATAGAATTTATATGCCTATCTGTTGAAAAAGGGAAAATGAAAAGTAACTTGGACTCATAAGTCGTATGACATAAATATAAGATTTATGTGAATGTATCAGAGTTGGCCATCTATCAATTGCTAATCTTTTAGTCATTGTTTATGGTTGGTTTAGTGTATTTCTGCTGGGCAGTGGCTCACCCTATATGGGAATATCATTTTCAGGTACAGGTAGCATGCCACCTCCAAGGACATAGCTTGGGAGGCTAGAGGCGGACATACTTTTGTCGTATCTTTTGATGTATTACATGTAACTTCAAGCCAAGGGCTTTATGTGTAAACAAGTTAGAACTCTTTTGTTGTAACCAAGTGTTAACTTGGAAAGCTGTAAGCCTGTAAGGCATTTTGCTTTAGTTGTTAACATGTAATGCTTTTGTATGAAACTCTGATGTATAAAGACAGAGGTTATTTTAATAGGTCAATGCATGTCTTATTTGATGGTTTAATGTTATTATTTTGAGGGCGTAACACTATCTATGCTTGTTCTCACGCCCAGTTAGGGAAATGATTGTAAACAATTTTTACTAACTTGAGATTGTGAAGAATTTTCTCTTATTTAAAATTGTGAACAAACACGGAGAAATTAAGGTTAAAACAATTTCTCTGGTTTAAAATTGTAAACAAACATAGAGAAATTTATGAACAAAATCAAAGAAATTTCAATTTTCTCTGGTTTAAACAAAATTTCTCTAAAGAGAATTTCTTTCGGAAATGGAATTGAAATTTCTCTAGATTGATGTTGAGGGACCTTAAACATTATGAAAATATTGGATGTCATTTATGTTATAAAATCTTAATGCCTGGGATCTTAAAAAAAATCCCCTAAGAAAATTGATTATTTTAGTTGGCTATTTAATTTTAGGGAAATTATGTGTAGGTCTTACTAAGTGGATTTATTATCCAATAGGTCCTATGATAAGTAATAGTATTTTTCATCATACATTATTAAAAAATGTCACTAATTCTTAATTTTCAATAAAAGTTTGAAAATTGTCAAAAAAAATGACACTAATTATAAGTTTTAGCGACGGTTAAAAAAAAATTGTCATAAAGAAAATCACCATTTTTCAACTTTCAGCTAAAGTTTGAAACATATGTCACAAAAAAACGTCACTAATTATAAATTTTAACGGCAATTTATAAAAATCATAATAAAAAAGTTGCTAATTGTTAATTTTTAGAAACATGTAAAAAATTGTCAAAAAATTTTTTTAACTACAATTATACAAGGACTTATTTTCAATAGAACGTGATGGAAATTAAATTCAATTATTAGGCTATTAGTAGTTTATCCTCTGATTTCTTGACTATTTAATTTGTCTAAAATAGTTATGCTTGAGAAATTGAATAATTTTTTTTTTTGGTAGTTGATTTAATACTTATAAAAAAATAATAATAATTATGAATTAAATACGATATTTTATTTTATTAATTATTTTATTTTTTAATAAATTATTTTAACCCAACACTGATCTCATTGCCAAATTATATAATAGGTTCACCCAAAAACTTCTCTACTTACCTACTCTAACGGCTATAAAAAAATAGTATGTCCAATCTTATGTTAGATTTGATACCTAAGACCATCTCTAATAGTGAATCAAATTTTTCACTAAATTTGAAGAAAAAAAAGGTTAATTTTCTCAATCTGATATTTCTTCCTCGAATTGTGCATCAAAATGAGAGGGTCGACCGGTGAGACAATTATTTATTTATTTTTTTATTTTTTTTGAACTTTTTTGACCGGTTTGAACCTACCTATTTGAAAGGGAACCGGTCGACCGGTTGGTCTCCTCCAACAGTCACGCACAATAAAGTAGTGAAATCTGTACCCTGTTCTCACTTTGATGGATTTTTTGGTGAATTCTCATTTTAATACCAATTTGCTGAAACCATTAGAACTCCAAAAAGTGACTTTTTCACCAAAATTTAAATCTGAAGTCAGGTTTGGTTCATCGTTGGAGATGCTCTAACAACTTATCAAAAAGGGCAGAAGTTATTGATTCGTCTTAGAATATCAGCTTGTGATTGATGGGATGAGTAAAATTTAAGAATTTATATTAAGTAATTGAGACAATATGAAGAGACATGATAAATTGTGCTTGATGAGGTATATAATCATATAACGTCCCGAGAGCCACCAATAATTTTTTCAAAATGAGTTCAACAATTTCATATATTTAATGAAGAATTACATTACAAAAAAGTAAAAAATATTATAAAATTAATAATTATAATTATAATTATTTTCAGCTTTTTATAAATATTTTTTCTGCGCTCCATTGATACGTAGTTCTCCCTATATTTAAAAACAAAAATACTTAGAAAACTTATATTTACCATAAATTTACATCTCACTAATTTTAAATCTACATCATGTAACTTATTTTGGAATAAATTTTGAAACAACTTTTCATAATTTGTAGCATTAGTCAAAAATAAATAATAACATGAATGTGTTAGAATGACATTTGTAACAGTGAAATAATAATGGAGAAATTACACATCAATGGTTTTTTCAAAAAATATTTTTATATTTATGAAAAAGTTTATAGCTTATTATTTTAATGTTTATAAAATGTATCATTAATGTACAATTATTTTTCAGAAGTTGGGATAAATTGATATTTCCCCAATAATAATTATCAAACTTAGAACTTTCAAATTGTAATTTTGGCCAAAAAAAAGGAATTGCCACCAACCATTGGATGCTCCTAGATCCCATTTCTCGCTAGACCGAAGGATCCGAAATGATTTTACCCATTAAAAGTTAAAATTCAATTATGCGTAGTGTATTACATTTTTACATTATATTATATTTATTATTTTATTTGTTAACATAATATTTGAATAATGAATTTCACTACTATTGTATATTTTTAATACGGTATTGATAATTAAATTGACATATTAAATAAATAAAATAAAATTATCATTATAACATTATTATTAAAAAATAAATAAATTTGTTGAAAACACTGTAGTGGACCTTATCCGCCACATGGTCCACACAACATTTATCATAAGTACTACCACAAGTGTTAATGAAAACCTAAAACATGCCCACCACCAAACCCATGAGCCACCCATTATGAAATCAGTAAGTTTGTGGCTTCAGATTTATAATTTTAAATTTGTGATGAGAATGAGAGTGTGTGATGGGAATTAAAAATATTTATTATAAGGTTCATGCATAGAATGAATGTAAATCACATATTGATATTTTTAAATAATTTTTGAATAAAATTTCTAAGTTTGTAATATTATTGTTATGAAAATGATTTTCACAACGTCTTTGAATCTTTGAAAAATTGCACTTCAGTGCAAGTTTTTTTTTTAAAAAAAATTAAATTACAAATTAATAAAAAAAATTATCAATTTTAATAATTAAAATTATAAATATTTTTTTATAAATTTATAAATATTTTGTAAAAATATTACTGATTTATATATATATATATATATTTTTTTAAATCTTTGATTTCTATGCATGCAATTGTGGAGCCCATCTTTCCACCACCACCAACACCACCATCAACTGTTGTGCCTTTCGGTGGTGTTTGTTTGACATGAGTAATCTTGTTGCATGTGTATGTGTATGTATATACACATGTCAAGATCCCTCCGATTGATGCAACCATATGTTCTAATCATTAAGTTTGATGTGGGATTAAAGCGCAGGGATCCTCTACAGTGGTTAAAGCGCAAGGATCCTCTACAGTGATATGGGTGAAATGATCTTCTAGAGTGATTTTTTAGGATTTGACACGTGTCTCACTAATAAAATTAAAAGTTGGGATTACTTTGGTGAGAAAAAAGAAAATTCTTTTATTTTCCGCTCTCCTTCTTTGTCTCTCCTTGCTCATCAATTTTTGCTTTCACCGTCGGAAACTTCATGGAGGCGATCGACTTTGTTGCGGAAACCCATTATCGAATTTCCCTGAATCGATCGAGATTGTCGAATTCACCGACCAAACAATCCCAACAAATATGCACAAATAAACCAAGCAATATTCGCTGAAAAAAAACTAATTTTGACGAAATTTGACCAAATGCTATTTTTTTTCTTTGGGATTATTTTCCTGTGGGTTTGTAAGAAAGGTTGAAAATTATTGTTGTGTTTGGATTTGGATTTTTTAATTTTTATATTAATAAGTTTTTCTTGATTTGGGAGTTATGGTTGGATGGGGTTCGATAAATTGAAGATTGAAGAGGAAGAATTGAGTTTGAGTTGCATAAACTGGGTTTGAGTAATTGAGTTTAAGTTGGCTAAATTGGGTTTGAGTTTCAATTGAAGAGGAGGAGCTCAGTTCATTAATGGAGGAACTGGGTTTGAGTTTCAATTGAAGAGGAGGAGCTCCGTTCATCAATGGAGCAACCATACTCATCCAACAAACCCTATCTTTTAATTCCAGATCCAACATCTCCAATCCACCCAAATCCAAGTAAGTCCTACTCACTCTTTCTATGCAAATCTCTCTTTGTTGCATCAACCAAAGCCCCCGAATTCATCAACCAAACCATTAAGTTCTGCGAACTCTTTTACCTTTTCTCTCTCTCTCTCGCTTCACAGGAACGGGAACGTATAGGATGTTTTGAAATCTGATTATTATTATTATTATTATTATTATTATTATTATTAAATTACTCATCAAAACGACGTCGTTTTGGTGAGACTTAATCTCAACCCTTGATGGATCACTTTAGGAGATCACTTTATAAAATACATTCTAGAGGATCTTAACCGGTGGTTAAAAGTTTTGTGTAATCATGGCTTCCCACTCCATAATGATGGCTCTCTTGATTCGTGGTCTAATTAAGTACAGTTATAGTTTATGATTCAAATGAGTGTGGGTTAAGAATTAGAATATTCTATAATAAAAAATATTATAGATGTCAAATGAATTATTATATTTTTTTATCAAATTTTTTACATGGGTGTGAAATTTACACAAATTACATGTGTGTGGTCCCACACCCATGTGAGAGGTTTAATAGGAAAATTGATAATTTATTTAGGACCCCTAACATAACTCTTCTATAACACACGTATTTATGATGTTTGTAATTTTTATTATAATTTATTGTGGTAATAGTTTTGATTTAATTTGATTATGATTTATTGTGATAGTAATTATAATTTATATTTTAGAGAAATTTGGTCAAAATCTCTTCATAATAAAATTTTAATGCATTAAGGATAAATATAAAAAGTTTTCTTTG